TGTGTGTGTGTGTGTGTGTGTGTGTGTGTGTGTGTGTGTGTGTTTATCACGTGGAGTTCTCCACAGCAGCTCTGTAAACAACAGATGAGCAGAACTTCATTATTTCTCAGCATCAGATGTTTAAATTTAAATCTTTTCCTTCCAGTGTTTTGTGTATTTTTCATCAGGAGAGCTCAGACTGATTTAGACTTTTAGTCTCATTCTGTCTGTGGGGGACAGTCTCTGTGCCGGACATTGACCGGGTCAGAACTCTGCTGTCTGTGGGGGACAGACTCTGTGTAGGCCCGACATTGACCGGGTCAGAACTCTGCCACACGGACCTTGCGGCTCGGAGCGTGTGATTGGTCAGAACTGAATTATATTTATTTATGTCCCACAGATCTGCAGACAGGTTAGACTGGGTCAGGAACAAGACCAAGACTTCAGACAGTGTGGAGGACAGAAGTCCTCAAGCTGGACATTAAACAGGACTGAGGACAGAAGTCCTCTGGTTGGACAGGACTAAGGACAGAAGTCCTCAAGTTGGACATTAAACAGGACTGAGGACAGAAGTCCTCAAGTTGGACATTAAACAGAACTGAGGACAGAAGTCCTCAAGTTGGACATTAAACAGAACTGAGGACAGAAGTCCTCTGGTTGGACAGGACTGAGGACAGAAGTCCTCTAGTTGGACAGGACTGAGGACAGAAGTCCTCTGGTTGGACATTAAACAGGACTGAGGACAGAAGTCCTGTGGTTGGACAGGACTGAGGACAGAAGTCCTCTGGTTGGACAGGACTGAGGACAGAAGTCCTCTAGTTGGACAGGACTGAGGACAGAAGTCCTCTGGTTGGACAGGACTGAGGACAGAAGTGTCTCCTGTTACCCCAGACAGTAAAACAGTGAAACCATTTCTTCAGACACAAAGTAAAGACTTGAAGTGTTCAAACAGTCTGAGGTCTTTAGACGTCCTGGAGCCACAGGATCCAGGTTCTGTTCTGACCCGTCTGGTTCTGCTGCTTTTTAATGGTTTCCTCTGTTTAATCCAGGTTTAGTCCAGATCCAAGTGCTTCATGTTCACTCAGCCATTCAGGAGACTTTACAGCCATTTCCATGGTCTTTACAACCAGAACCTCCCTGACCCATTTAGACCAGGTTCTGATGGCTATACACACGTCAGCATCAGAAAATTCAAAGATAACACACACACACACACACACACACACACACACACACTGTACAGTCCAACCTCAGCATTGTTCCACATGAAACCAGTTTAAAACAACATCCATGTG